AATTTTGGTGGATGCGCCTGGCACAAATTAAATTTTGCGATCAACATTAAAAATCCGATTTTTGTATTAGGAGAACATAAGTTGCATGGGAAATATAAAATTTCACACACTTTTCGTCCAAAATTAGCTTTAGATTTTCGAAAGTAGTGGCTATATAACAGCCTTTTTTAATTACGGGTGAAATACCTTTAAATTTAAAATAGGTAATGAAAAATAGATTAAAATGAAATATTGCGCTCCAGAAACTTATAACTAACCATAAACTATTTAATAAACTATAAAACGTGTTAAAATAATGACATGCATTTTATTATTTCTTTAATTTTTTGCTAAAGTTACGGCAGGCTTATTAACTATTTTTACTAAAAAACGTTCAATATAAAATAAAATGTGCTTAAATTAAAATTTAATTACATTTAAGTTTCTCCTGGCTCTATAATTAAGAATCTATTGGTAATAACACTTAGAATTTGTGAAGACTATTTAAGGGTTATGTTATTGTTTTTGTGTTTTATTGACAACAATTATCAGGTATTTTTATATGAAATGATCTTTATTTACTCAATATAATTATGTAATTTACTTCAGAAGGTAATTATGAAGTGATTTTTAGCGATTTTATAGATGTTCTGGGCATATATTTTGAGTTAGCTGAGTCTTTTGCTTGGTGCTTGGAACTCTTAAAAATTCCATGCTAACATGAATACAATGAGTTTTAAGTTAAATTTAACGACTTGGAGCACCCAAAATACGATAAAGTATGGCTGTTCTATAATATTATATCCAGAACTGCAAGGTAGGTGTTAATTTTGATTTTATTTTACATGCGTGATGTATATAATTTTGCTTGTACCTGATGTTTTGTTATAAAAGTCGCATAAGCCCCTTTATTTTATTTCAGTTTTTATTATAAAATGATAACCTTAACGCAGCAGGAGTATAGATTCCAATTAATAGAATGATACCTGTCTGGAGAACCAAATAAAGAAAATTCCCATTAGATAAGCTTCGTTTAATCCTACAATGATGTCCAATGTGCCAATGAATATAACTAACAACTTAATAAACTATATTTTACAAGAAGATAGGCCTTGCATTGCTAAATTTAGAAGTGAGGTTTACAAATTTCCATTACCTATATATATATATTACAGCAAATTTAGATCACCTAACTAAATAAACCTTATTAATAAAAGAAATGTAAATAGGCAATTAATTTAAGCAGTTGAAACTGTTAAACTTTGCTTCTTAAAAACAATACCAAGTCCTAAATGCTAATGTCTCTAAAAGTGTTTATTGTTTATTTTTTCAGCCATATATCAAAATAAACATGATATTACATTACAGTCATGATTGAAGATTAAACTGGATTTTATTTGGCAAATATTGGTAGACCAATACATTAAAGTGACCAGATTCTGCACTGTTATTTTTTGTTGAAATCAAATAGAAAATTAAAAGGTAACGTGTGTACACCTAGGTATGTGTGTTGTTTTTGATACATTTTGTAAAATACAAATTTATTTTAGAGATAATGGATTTCCCTTCAAATTCCATTGGACACTCGAATACCAGTTTCAGTGCTTTTCAGGGATCTCCCATAGAGTAAGAGTTTAACATTTCTTTAAAATTAAATCCTAATAATACAAACAACACGGCTCGTTTTTTGATAACCAATTTTAAGTACTAAACAATACTAAACTTTTGAAAACTTTAAATTTTCATTATTTCATCTAAATGTACATAATTTCAATAACAAATATTTGATTTGGTAGTAGGTGTATCTATCAAAAGTAACTATTAAATGCAGCAAAAGCTCAGCAGCATATAATTAGTAATAAACCAATAAAGCAATATAAATGATCTAGTTAAATTTCCTAAAACCTTACAAATCATTTTTTTTTTTTTGATTGGTTACAGTATTAGACTTGATATGCAAGTAATTTTGAAATATGTACATCGATTGGGTGCCAATATTAAAATTAACATTTGTAATGATTGTGATACTTATTTTAAGGTCACGATTCTTTTTATAATTACTTTATAAATATGTTTTATAAATACTAGTTCTTCCCCCCTATCATTCACTGCGAGCTCGAAACTGTTAGCACCATTGCTTCGAGTAGTCGAAATTCACTTTTGTGTACAATTTGTTTAATTACTTTCTTTGTGTTAAAAATTGTTTAAAAAATTAAATTTAAAGGGATTGTTTGTAAATAGGTATGCAACACATCGTACATTTCGCATAAAAAATTGCTGATACTAACTACATAATACTACTTTACCCTGTGCTAACAGCGCTCATACTTTCTTTTATATGTAAAATATTTAAGGTCATGAATTTTTTTATAAATATTTTAAGAATATAAATATAATTTGATAGAATATATCACAATCTAATGATATTTGCTGCTGTAACGATGTAATGACAAGGGCATTAAAAAAAGTATCTCCCTATCAAACAGAATTTATTAAGAAACTTATATATGCATGTATGTGTTGGTTCTTTTTATTTAAATTTTAGAAAATTAGTAGCATTGCAATTTTGTGTAATAATCAAGAATATTATTAAACAATTTGTTTTCTTTATAAAATAATGGTTCATTATTTTCAGTTGCACAAAATGTAATAGACCTCTCTCAGTCGGCCCCATTTACATCTCTGTAAGTGATGGTTCAAATATTTGTGGTAGATGCAAAACCTTTCCCGAAAAAGAAACAATCGTCCGAAACATCGCTTATGAGAAAATAGCATCAACCCATACTTTTCCTTGCGCCTACGAGGGGTGCATTGACGTGCTTGCTTGGCCTAATGTACAAGAACACGAAGTGAATTGCATTTTCAAACCGTTTCCCTGCGTTATTGATAACTGCAAGTGGAACGGAAGTAAAAGGTATATGCTAAAGCATTTCAAAGAGGATCACAAAAACATTTATTCAGAAGGAAACATAAAATTTAAGTTAGACACCAAAAATGACAAAAAATTAACATTGTTACTTATGCCTTTTATAATTAAAGTACATTTCAGTGTAAAAACAAGTGTCCTAAAAATTAGATTGATTTCTTTAGGCCTTCACTACATAGAGAATATTGCGTCGATTACTTGCAGTATACAAGATAATTATAAAAATAAGATTGAGAAAAATGAGAAGTACTACTTTGGTCATCCATTTTCAATACTTTTTAGAAACATATTTTCATTACTAAATGAATCAGAAATTCATTGTAGTGTTGATATATTATACAATAAGTTGCAATTGAAATCTGCTGGTCTAAAAGTGTTCTGCCATTCTTGTAATATTTTACTAACAGATGACGTTTACATTCATAATTTTAATACATCTGTGTATTGTAAAAGATGCAAAATTTCAGCTTTTTATAAAATATCATATAACTCTTATTGCAAAATGCTAGACAATAATATCAAGAGCAAAGCTATCGATTCTGATAACGATTACGTTAATTGCCCTTATATTCAATGTCCTTATAAATTTAAAAAAGAAGTTCTAAAGAACCACATTAATAAATGCAATTTTAAAACGTTTAATTGCCAAAAATGCACTTTCAAAGAAGATTTTGACTTACTTAAAAGACATTATATCGATTATCATTCAGCAGTAGTCGATAACAAACATTTTTGGACCACAAATCTCAATTTTGGTAACGAAACTGTTGAAATCTAAATACCTGCCACCTCTCAGTTATTTCACGAGCGCCTTTTTATGTCTGAATTATTTTACATATTCCAGCATAAATGACGCAGGAAAGTAGTAAAAAAAAATACAAATGATAAAATCCAAGATAAACATCATCGATGAACCCATTTCTTCGTTTTATGCGAATGTCATGTATTTTTCATTATACCTTTACTAGGTTTTATAGCTTCTTTCGTATTGATGTCCTAAATACGTGTCAAAATTAATTTTTTCTACCCCTAGGGAATAGTATTTTTTTATAAAAGGGACCCTATGTCCTTCTCTGTACCCCTGTACAAAATTTCATCACAGATTTTACCCACGGCTTCGCTCGTGTTGATGTCGTAAATACATCGACGATAACATAAAACTAATTTTTCTATCCCTCGGGAACAGTATATTTTTTTCTGGGAAAAACGTAACCTATGTCCTTTTTTGTACCCCTGACAACATGCGTAGAAAATTTCATGACGATCGGTTAAGTAGTTTTGTGGTAGGTAAGTACATTAACAAATCCATTTTGAAACTTTTCATTTTGAACGGTTAAAAATATAGATTATAAGAATTTCACANATTTCATTATTAATACATATATAATTTGTTTTGCACAAAAATGGAACTTACAACCTATTAATTACAATGTTTTTTCTTTACATGTTTCGATAGCGTATTTTTAGTATTGAATTTCATTTTGCAAACGTTACACTCAAACTCTAGTAAGTTCATATGAGTCCTAAGATGATCTTCCAAACCATTCGCAACATTTTTACCGCAAATATTACATGTTTTCGTTTTAACACTCCCATCATGATGCTTCGAATGTACATCCAAGTTTTTCTGCGACACGAATTTTTTATTACAAATCGCACACGCATAATTCTTAATTCCATAATGATTGTTAACGTGAGATTCAAGATACTCTTTTCTCATGAATCCTTTTTTACAAATGGTACATGTAAAAGGCATGGTTTCACTATGAACTTTCATGTGAAAATTTAAATTGCTTAAAGTTTTGTAGGATTTGTGACACTTTGCGCAGTTGTACTTTTTTTCGGTGCTGTGCGATACCATATGGGTCTTGTAATCCGAAATGATTACGAAACCAATGTTACATATTGAACAAATGGCTATAAATTTCTTATCGTGTTTTTGCTTCACGTGATTTTTCAGTTTAGTGGATGTTGCAAACTTCTTGTCGCAACCCTCATGTTCACAGACATATGGAAACTTCCCCGAGCAATAGTTCAGGTGCTCTTTAAGTCTGGTGTTCGTCCGAAATAATTTTTCGCAAATTTTGCATTTGAAAAGTTGGATTGAGGGTTGAAATCTTTTAATAACGTTTTTGTGCAACAACAAGTGGCGATTAAAAAATTTGTAGCTCTTTATTGTTTTGCCACACATCTCGCATAAATACTTGTGCGTCTTTTTCCGACACAAATGACTCCAGTAAAGTTTCTTGAGCGTAAAAACTTTTTTACACTCTTTGCATTTGAAACTGTGTCGACCGCAAAAGTTTTTAAACAACTTTTTAGTCTTGTTTTCTACCTTTTTATTAGCATTTAAATTTATACCATTGAACTGGCATGTTTTCTCGTATTTTTTAATTAATTCCACTCTAGTGTTCTCTAATTTCCACTGTAAATGATCAATGGTATTGATTAGATCTAAGCACTGATTACACAAGTAATTATGCTTGTTTTCTACTAATTCTACTACTTCTGATAACTTTTGGTGAACAGATATTTGTGAACACATTGTTAATGGTGTCTCTGTTGTAAGGATAAAAAATTGATTCCCTGTTGGGGTGAACATGCAATTACAAATAATGCAATTTGTCGAATAGTCACACTTTTTAGAAATATTTTCGCAAATATCGGGAGTTTCCTCATCTGACTCCTCCACAACTATATCACTTTCTCCATTTGAACAATTAACAGAATTATGGTCTTCATTAATGTCTTCAAATGGAATGTTAGAATAGAAAATATTAGTATTAATATCGCTTAAACTTAATAATGCATCATCTTTTCTATTATCACAAGTATTATAGATGTTGTAGTCATTAATATTATTTTGATTAACTTCTTCAGTGAAATACAATTTTTCTTTACTACAACTTTGCAAATATTGTTCTGTTTGCTGATTATTATTAAAAGAAAGGACTTTAACATTTTCAAATTCAGGAAGCTTTTGCATGCTGCAATATTTTGGCTGTTTATTTTCAAATTCGTTATCAACACCCTGCGAACATGGGAGATAACTGTGGATCTTATTATTGCAGTTAACATTACAAAACCATTGAGAATCATTGGTTACTGATTTACCAAAATAGTTTATGTCACGGTTAATGCTTTTGTAAAGGTCTGGCAAAAGGAGATCCACATTGCTGCAGCAACTCGCTGGACTTAAATCTTTACTTGTTATTTCAATAGTTTCAATTTTATCAGATAGTTTTAAACCCTTTTCAATGTCAGCAAACACCTTTGGGTCAGGAAGCCAGGCAGTGTTATCAATTTGATCAGCACAAAAATAAGAGTTTGCTGTATAATTAACTGGATTCCTTATAACCATTTGTTGTCCATAAATGAAATCACAAGCACTGTAATTGGGTTGATTTATAACTGGAGAATCACAGGAAGTATAAGAGCCCTGGACTTGATTTTGAACTTGTTCACCAGCTATTGTAGGAAACATGGAAGCATTCGAATCTTGATAGTATTTATTAGACATTTTCTCGTAACGAAAGTATTGCAATAATTAACAGTGTATTTTATTAAATTTCCCTACTGCTAAACTAACCTTAACATCATCCTTCTTTATGAACAAAGTCAACACCAACTCTTATCCATTTTCAAAATGAATATTTATAAGCAGGAGACACATTTAACGATTTAGGCACTTCATTTATTTTTACTTAATGTAAAAACTTTTTATTTACTTTTTAATTTTGATACCCACAGCTACGTATTTTGTAAGGTTAGAATACATTTTTAATTGATTAGTTCTAGTTCTAATGTCACGAAAATTTTTCACTTTTTAGTTCATTTGTAGTAGTTCCTATGGTGCTATTTCGTTAATTTACAACCAATCAGAAAGCAGACGTTAAAATCAAATTTATAATTTTGATGGTTATCGTTTAATTCAGATTAATTTCTAGTCTATTGAAGAATTAAAAAAATGGTAAGTAAATAATAATATTCAATAACGCCATATTTTAGTAATTGTTTTAAATACTGTTTGTTATTAATAGCTATCAAATCATTTGGAGGATTATGAAGTACTTAGCATATTAGGTGAAGACACAAGTTCATCTTGCTATAAAGTTAAAAGCAAAGTAACTAATGATGTATACATTTGGAGGGCTATTTCCTGTGAAGATATGTCAAAAGAAGAAATAAAAAGCTTGTTAAATAAAATTACTCACTATCAAGAATCAGAAAAAAGTTACTCTCTAAACCTCAAAGGACACATTCACCAAAAAGATCCAAATATAATATATTTAATAACTGAATACTGCAGTAGAGGCAGCTTAATGGACATAATTAAATACTGCCAAAAGAATACGAAACGTATTTGTGAAAATTTTATGTGGAAACTCCTTTACCAGCTGAGTTGTATATTGAAAACAATAAGTGTTGAAGATGTTAATAAAATCCATTGTGGCAATACATTTGTTGATAGTGACGACAAAATCAAGATATTTACCTTTGAGGTGAAAGAAACACAGTTTAATGAGCTGCTGGAGCCAAAAGTAGTTCTTGGTCATTTAGTATTAAGTTTATGCACCTTAGAAACAGATGTAAAGAAACAAAACTGTGAAAATATGTGTAACAAGATATTAGACAACTTCTCCAATGAACTAATAGAGATTATAAGCTTCATTTTAAGAAAGCAGACCAGATCTGATGAGGTTGTTAATGCTATTTTATGTCATCCGACTGTTTTACTAAAATCATCTAAACCACCAATCAATAAGAACTTTTATGAAGATATTTACCAATCAAAAGAAAAGTATGATTCGAAAACCATTGAGACTAAACACAACGAAAATGTAATTTCAGAGAGAGAGAACTTTTATAATGAAAAGATAAGGCTTCAAATAGAAAATATCAAAAACAGGGAAACATATTTGAAAAACCAAGAACAGAAGTTAATGGAAAAAGAATTCGAACTGAAGAGAAGAGAGAAGAAAGTGGCTCTATTAGAAAAATTAAGTGCTGAAAAGTATTCTAGAGCTGAATTGTATTTGAAGACAGCTAAAGAAAACAGAACATCGAAAGTTACTGTTAAAGATGAAAACGTTGAAATCCATAATGCAACAGATGCTTCATTCTCGGCAGATTGTGGGGACACCAGTATATTGCCAACAAGTTCAAAATTTGACTTAAACAAGTTTAAAAAGCCACCAGCTTTTACAAGAACATTCTCAGAGAGGCACGTTCGATTTAAGGGTCACAGCCCTTTGAAAGAGAAAGAATATAATAGAAAGGGCATACTTAGGAATTCTTTTATGCGAGAATCAAAACATGAAACAAATTCCTCTTCAGAAGTCGTGTCATGGTGTACATTAAGCTCTGAAAGTAATTCAGAAAAGTCGCTGAAATTCGAAGGCAAAGAGAAAAAGAAGTCGCTGTTTCCCTCACTAACTTCTAAAAGGAAAAGCTTCCTCAAGGAGAAATTGCCAAGAAGTAATTCAGAGGAGTTCAAAGAAACAGGTGGTGATTTTTCCAAGACCGAAGTCCGCCCCATTTCGTGGACAGAAGACAGTAAGAAGCAGGCTTTCGAATTATTAAAGATTATGAACTCAGTTAAAGATAAAGAGAATATTCCTATCAGACATACAAAACTTTAATAACTAACTCTAAATACTTATTAAAATTTTATTATTTACAGGGTGATTCGTTTCAGAAAGGCAAAATATATAAATTTTTGTGTGCAATTAAATGAGAAAACGGATCATCCTGTATAGTTTATTTATTAGCTTATATAGGTATTGTGCAATTATTTTTATCCTGAAATAGTAATACCGTCATTACCTCAAAATCTGAAAACGTGTTTATCAATCTTTTAACGAAATCAATTCAATTCGTTAATCATTCTGTAAATTTAATTCGTTATAACATTTGTAGTTTTTCTATAACAAAAGTGCTTCCAATGATAAAAGAAAATCTCGTATTACTTAAAGTTTAAATTATATTTTACTTATTTAACAAAGAATTATCATTATACATTTACTTATGCATACTTGCCAATAACGATAAACATATGTATAGTATTATACTCTGTGATTAAAAAAATATATATACAAATACACAAGGGGGCATTTATCAATTACGTAAGGAATTTTTCTTCTCTCATTTAGTTGGTGATATTTCACCTTACGTGAGATTGTTCTTTTTATTGAATAATTTTCTTTTATTAACTGTATATAATAAAAAGATGAAAAGTGATATTTTCATTCACCCCACGCTCCCTTTAAATGAGATATTGCTGAACACATCCCACCCCTTACGTAATTTATAGATGTCCCCTAATAAAATGAGTATACTATGAAACTGTTACAAACTTAAAACTTTATTTTTATTACAAGTTTTTTAACATTTTATAACTGTATTATGTACGCATTTTTACAAAAATAAAATTTCATTACTAAATTAGGAATGGTATAATTGCTTTCCTTCTGGAGGGATAATTACTAAACACCCTCTTATAATTGTTATGTTCTTTAATGGCCCAGCGTGTCATTTTATAAAACCCAACTAAAGCAAATAGTAAAGCGGGGAAGCACCGTGTCATTATACTAAACCCTAACCACGCCCCAAATTCGTAAGTGTAGCTAGGGCACGAGACATAATTAAAAAGTTTTGTGAAGGGGTTGCTATTTGGGACTGGGATCTTAGGGGCGTCAGTATCAGTTATTTGCGTTTTAGAGACAAGCAGTTGGGTACTTAAGTTACCTAATTCGCATAAAATAAATATAAATAGTCCCAAGAAATACAAAGTGTTTGAGGGGGGACTATACAAGGGATGATTTATGTCGTACGCCACATAAATGGTAAACCCCCAAAAGTAGCCACAATTAATGAAAAATTTGATGAAAGGGATCTTTATACGTGAATAACGATGTACAAATACGATTTCTAACAATCTTTTTACGTAGTGGATGGCCCAGCAAAAATTTTTCAAATGATGTCTTACATAAGCGCTCAAACTTTCATACTTGTTGTCGCAAAATTTTTGCAAATACTGTGCGGTAATGAAATAAAGCAGCAAAGGTCCTAAATATTCCATCGTACGAGCGAATTTCCACGAAATTAGTGGTCCCAATTGGCGAATGTAAACTTTTGATCCATCTTTAAGATCTAATTCGTCAACATTTGCGCTATCTACTTCTTCTTTACCAGAAATTGTTACGCTTAGAGAAAGTTGAGCCACATTTACTAAATTGGGATCGATTTTTGTTAATTCATTTTTTATGTCATATACGCTCGTGCCTGGATAAACCATCAATTTGTAAAAGACATTACTGTCTGTTAAAACTGCTTCAATTTCAAACATCTCTTCCTTAATAAATAATTCATACTTTAATTTACTTGGAAATTTTCGAAAAATGTCAGTATGACAACTGCTACTCATGACATTATATGCAGTGCTCAGAATTATTAAAAACTTGGTTGGAAATAGAATTAATTTATATTTGCCAGCTTCTGGAGTTTAGTTGGCTTTTTAAATTTTTGAATTTTACCGCGCAGACATTAATAACGCGTTATTAATAACTGAATGTGACCGTCCTTCGGCAGGTGTGATAAAATAACGGCCCAAAGAACAGGGCGATTCTAATCAATATTAACACATCGCAAAGACCCTTTAATTAATTTGGAATATACTTAAAACAATAAAGAAATAAGATACCGAACAATCTAGACTTATTTTTAATTATAATAGACATATTAACTGATTTATGTACAGATACCTATTCCCATTAATCTCAAAAAAGTTTAAAAGTTAATTAAGTACTAAATTACAAACATCATCTACTTGCAACCAGCAATAAATAGTAGTAAAGCATATAACTACGTAGAGAATTATTAATGTTTCCGAAAACTTAATTTTTTTACGTATATAGGTAGTATGGTTTACTTAAGTAGGGCAATAGAATTATAACAACTTTTAAAGGAAATCTGTCAGAAAATAAATAAATATTTATTCGTCAGGTTCTTTTTTATATTTTTGAATTTTATGTAAGTTACCGAGTAATACGTTATAAATAACT